AAGTATGAACGCGTTCAAGAACAGACTAGATAAAGCTATGGAAAAATATATGTTCAGATTTGAAATGCCTAGCTCCTTATCGAACCCGGTGGAAGTCTAGTAGCTTCTTCAAACTATCGCCAGTCATGAAAAGATCCGGTCAAATGACACGAGTTTAGATTCTATGAACAAGGCACGAAATGGAAAAGAATCGGCGACAGGCCACATCAGGCCTACACTTCAGAGCCGACATCACTATGTTATGTTATGTTATGTTATAAATTAGATTATTTTCAACTTTGCATTCAATTCTCATTATTCATTTTCAGAAACCGTTAGATATATTAGACGACTCTCGTTCTAAGCAAGAATGAAACAAGAGCCGCATTTTATGTAACGCTTGAGGCTCATATCCAGAATAATTATTTTTAATTCTTATGTTGTAGGCAGCAGGCTGGCCGCTCTACAATAGAGGCTGTGGCGATAGAAATAACCACTAAAGAAACGAGTTGTTTAAAAGTTTTAAAGTATGTCATACGGACTAACAGAAAAAAAATCACTCATTTGGCAAATTTTTCCTCAAATCGAAATCACTCTCGCACTGCCTCATTCGTTGCTATTAAATCCTGTTTTTTTTTTATGAATATGTTCATGATGCAAAATTGGATTTAGAGTAATTGTAAAAGAATGAGACTATTTTCCACGAAGAAACTATTTTCCATCATTCTACCTAGAGACATGCTTGTCAAAGTTCTTGCAATAGTATGCGTGAAATGTAGTGAGAAATTTGATGGTGTCTATGTAATAATTTTCGATAATTATTCGAAAGAATTTGTGAATTTACAGCAACTCATATAAAGTAGAACTGTATTTTAAATGTATACTTCTCTGCTGCTACCAGCTGAATAATATTTTTTCTATTGAATACTCGTACTTGCTTAGTGAGTGATCTATTACAGCAATGTAAACAACAGGATACGGCGGATAATGAACCACATGAACCTTCTGCACTACAACTCACCTCATTCATCTATTAAAAGAATAATGAAACGTCGTACATGATGATACTTGATCAATATAAAACGTTTTTATTCAAGCTAAGAATGAATGTTTCCTCTTTGATGTTATGACGGACAAACGATGCAATGATCCCGATGACCGGATAAATACTTAATGGTTTATAGTTTTATTTCGCTGAATGGCTTTATATCGCTTAATAGTTTTATTGCACACAATAGTTTTATATCGCCCCATTGCTGTATACAGATCACGTATCATCTGAATACACGTGTGCGGATAGCATTTGTCTGTCGGAGCAACACTTGCTACAGGTCGCTTCAGAAGACGTGCTCGAGTGTATAAAAAGAGAGGCATCCTTCTGACGATCACCACTCGACCATATCTTTCTGGTGAAGGAGCTACGCAGTTAGCATCAACAGTCGAGGTGGGAATAGAGTTTCGAACGCTAAATTTAAGTTTGCCATTTGAGTGTGAAAAACATTTATTTTATCAAATTTCATATATAAACGACGGAGTGCGGTTCATTCCACTTAGAAAATATTTTCCTGTTATCGCTCTGAACAATTCCGATTCTATTTGAATACAATTTTAAATCAAACTCCATAATTTTCCGCATAAGCTTCAGCAATTACACCAGAATGTACGATATTTATTTTTTTTATTTCTTCCGAATTGCGAAAAATATACTACGAGTAACTGTCATCTACTTCATAAAATTTCTAAAAATTTCAACAATTTCTCGGCACCCTCAGATGAAGTTTGCTGTGGCATTACTGTTGTGTGCCTTGGTGGCGGCCGCTACAGGCGAGTACCAGTGGTTCAGAGAAGTCCTTCCTGTTTTCTACTCGTCCTGCCGGGACGCTCGGCTCTCCAGTGGACAAACCATCTCAATCAACAGTCAAGCGATACAGTTAGTAAACAGGTTCCAATATTTTTATGCTATGATACACTAGAAAATTTTAGATTCTGTGGCGCAAAAACTGTCACAGCGATAGATCCAAGTAAACATTTTGCTAATTAACGGCAGATTTGAACGTTTAATGAATATAACCAGAGAACGCAGCTCTCATCTTAAACTCATTAAGATGAGCTATCGTTCAATGAAATTGCCTATAACTCGTATTTGTTTGGCAAAGACTCATATTTGTGCGACTCTGAAATCCGACAGACATTTTAACATTTGATGAGATATGAAATGATTATTTCGAGATTATCTTCTTTTGAAAGCGATTTTCAATACAGGCAAGGAAAATTCCCGTGTTTTTTATAATATCAAAAATTAAAATATGTAAATAAATAAATAAATATTGGTACCGATCTGTAAGCATAAGATTGAATTGAATATCTGTAAAGGCATCAATAGTTCGGTGGACCAATGATGATCAACTTCCAATGACAAAATTTTACTTTCATTTGAAAGACAATTCTACCCTCGTCACAGGTGCACCAGAGTTCTCTGCAGCGAGCAGCTGCCGACCTCCCTGAGCATCAACTGCGTCTTCACGTACCTCTGCCTGAAACACAACACGATCAGGTGACATCATAGAAATGATTAAAAATATTTGCATGCAGTTGCTTTAGTATGTCTATTGAAATGGAATATTAGCAACAATGATGATCAGGTTAAATTAATTTGACTTAGAAAAATTAATAAATTTCGCATCCGCGGCAAGTTTACTAACGCAACAGAATGATTTAGGGATTACAACTTATAGTATCTGGCGACCCGGCGCGGCTTGGGATAAATAACCCCAGAGTTCTGACGGAGCTCTGGAGCAGAATTCCCCTTTTGGACTGAAAGGATAATTGAAATGACAAGATGATGTTGAAAAAAACGGTCCTATATTTTGCTTTTGTGTTCAGGATGATAAATTATCTAATTTGCAGTCGCTAGTTTGGCAAGCCATATAACCACCCCAAGAAATAGAATTTCGTATACCGACACGAATGAAGCTGTATAGATACGTGATCGAATAGCAAAATAATATTTATTGCATAATTATAACTGAATTCAAACGCACCAAAAAAAGCTCATACCCACAGCTTATTACGCAATAGTGCGTGACTATCTCAATAGCATCAGTACTATTTTTTACTGTGGCATTAACTGAGAATTTTTCCAACGATTCATTACGATAAACTATTCATTGCGACTGGCCTAAAGTTAGTCTGAGCCATTAAAAGTTCAAAACTACCTACGTCACATTCCGACTCTTCCGAAAGGTGAATACGACCTAGTAGAGAGGTTGCTGACCAAACGTAAGTTTGGGTTAGGTACTTCAACATAAAATAAAAATAAGTATTTTTCATCTGAATCAGCACATGCACCACTCAAAAATCGCTGTCAACTTCGACCGGCATGGCGAGGCTCTACTCCTTGCTGCCGTACCGCTGTTCAGTGACCTGCGCGCGTGAAATCCCTCCGATCGAAACTGCAGTCGCTGCCACAACAGTTACAACAACTGTCCCGACAACGACAACTGCCATGCCGACAACGACAACTGAGGTCCCGACAACGACAACCGAGGTCCCGACAACGGCAACTGAGGTCCCGACAACGACAACTGAAGTCCCGACAACAACTGAGGCCTTTCCTCAAACAAATGCTGGATACTAAGCGGTGGTAGGAAGTGCAGAATCTCGTTCACACATTAGCGGCGTTACAAATGTGAACGTTTTTTTAACATGCGTGCCGTACGCAGCTAGCATTTAGCCTGAAAACTTTCGGCCTCCTACGATTTCCGATCTTTAGTTCCGAGAACTTGCACAATTGTAGTCATGCAGCTTGAGTTTTTGTCTTCGTGGTCGAAACTCTGAAAATAATAACTCAATGAGCATGTCAGGTATTATAATTCAATTATTTCTTCGTGTTTCTGCCAGTGTAGGTCAGTAAATAAATTTTTCTGTTCCCACACTACTAACCCAAGAATAAACCTCTTATCAATTTGTTAAGGACGATTAATTGCCCCTTCTAATTTCAATTATTAAATTTAGTGTTATTTACAATACAAAGATCTGTAGGTAAATTTCAAGAAAACCTCTCGTTCGGAGAACTTCTGCAATAATCAGTCATTTATAACGTCTACGGGCACCACAGTGGTCGCCAGCCTTTGTGTGATCGAACAGGACTATCAGGTCTCGTGCAGTGGCCATGTATCACTATCATATATGTAGAGTAGAATAGAAGTGTCGGCACTGAAGAAATAGGCCCATGGCCTGTTGTTGATTGTTTTTTTTTTTTGTGACTTGATTCACAGAGGATCCGGCCTTTGCAACCCTATCTTTCCATAACTGACGATTGATTGATACTTGCCTTTAATTTGTAGTATTAGTTACATTTTATCCCACAAAATGCATTAGTAATTATCAAATTCATTTCGGCCCATTGTAATGAATTAGTTACCAAATTTGACAAAGATAATCGGCGAATACATTGACAACATTGATAATTAATTGATTAGCGCAAAGAGCCGCTATAACGTTTAATTGGGCTATGCGCCGCTGGAATCGAGATCAAGGCACATTGAAAACTGTTGCAATTCGTTGTCAATCATTTTGTGTTGGGCAGCCAATATTTCTGGAAAGTGAATGGTACATATAAATCAATAATAACTTTTTGTTTAGCACGTGGAAGGTCCTAGAATAGCCCTTGTGGTACATCAGTTTGGGAGCACGTAGAGGATGCGAGTAATCCGTGGACAGTTGATCTATAAACAAGAAGCATTATAAATCTAGAATTTGAGTGGAAAATAGATTTCACTAATGATCGTACGGTGACACTTCAAGTAGAGTTCGGACCACCTTTTTCACTGACCTTCGGCTGCAGGCCACGCTGATCATCCAACTTCAGAGTCGGAATAAAAATTGCAAGTTCAATTCGTTATCTTCCTTGAGCCTACGCTTCAACGTGAGCCTAACGCTGGTTGAGAGGTTAATGAAAGCATGGCAAGAGCACAGTTAATTTTACTCGATAGTACCACAAACACATGTACCTCTTATACACATGAACAGGGACATGATGTAATGCTAAGTACGACAAATCAATGGGTGTCAGGGGACGTTAGAACAGAGGGAGTGAGTTCTTTCTGCGCTGGAAGATGAACGTAGAACAGTCATTTCTACTCGTAACAGAAAAGTAGCCTTAATGCAAGGTGCTATGAAACGCAATTGACTTGATTACATCTAAAAAAATCTTTACAAAGTTTTCTAATAAAAAACTGAATGGTTAGGTATCCTGCGAAATACACTCCGCAGGAGACCCCCGATGATCGACGGGATTTAAACAATTCCTTAAGAATCCAACATTCTTGAACAAATTTCAATTGTGATGAATAATATTGTTACACAATTGTAACCCAAGGACTCAGTACAACCATACACAGAAGCGTTTTAATTATGATAATTAAATTATACACGGGGTGTGAGAGGAGAGCGTCGTGACCATAAATGAACCTTGCGATGTCAAGGGCTTCAGACGAGGCTACCGCGCACGGTAAACCTTCGAGCTATTCAAACGACACGCTTGCGCTGCACCACTCACAGCATCACAAGTCCGGCACTCGGTACAAGCTTTGGCTGGCCCAGTTGACGTCACAGTTCATCATAACAAATGCTCACGCCTTTGGTTTTCATCCTGCACCTCACTCCCTCTGTTGTCCTGATCTGCAGTCGCTCTTCTCTGTTGAATGTCTCCGTCACTAAAATTACGCTTACTATTATGTGCACGCCTCGGCGCCGGCATCACGGTCAAGTCTTCTTAAGCTTCAACTTCATATGGAGTATCCCATCAATTAATAATTCCAGAATTCTCTACAAAATGGTCGCAAAAATTCTACACGCAATTTTCTACAAAAGTTGATAATCAACCACATCTGTGAGGGGCATCATAGCATCTACGGGAAATAAAAAATACAATTTTCACCAAGAACTCTGAAGTAGAACTCGATAATTCCAAATATTGCATCAATCATAATGAAAACCACTCGATGAATTGTTATGAAGTTAGCAATGAAAAATTAAGATAACAATGATAGTGATGGGAGTAAAGCTGAAGCAGCTTTGACCGTAGAGCCGGAGCCAGAGAGACAGGATTACGTCTAATTTAAACACTATAATCGGTATGTACTCTATACCGGAATATCATTCCAAAATAAAATTTTCAAATCCGTACATGTTCATCGCTTCTGAAATACAAACAGAACTCAAAAATTTTCATCAAGACAAAAAAAAGTTGATATCTCCGTACAGAATGACTATAAAATATAGATGTTATTATACATAGAGATGGTAATAGCCGTGCTAGATATTAACAGCAAATGCGCAGAGCATCAGGTCGCCCTCCCAGGCTGCTCCAATGCAGGCTTTACAGCGCTGCTTACAGTGACGCTTACCGACCAACGCGGCGAGCTACGTCCATCATCATGACGGGCGAGAGACTCATGCTCTCTACGTCCATCATCATGACGGGCGAGAGACTCATGCTCTCTACGTCCCTCATCATGACGGGCGAGAGACTCATGCTCTCTACGTCCATCATCATGACGGGCGAGACTCATGCATATGAGAGACATAACCGCGTTAAATGCAGAGACAATAGAAAGTCAGTAAAGGCTACACTTTGTTGTTGGCTACCATAAGAAAAAAATCAAGGGCAATTCTTTCACATAAAATATACGGTAACCACGCCAGCGTTTGAATTACGAAGATACGGCTGCCAATGAAGTCTGTCAACGTTTGGCTTTACAATAAGAAACTTAAAGATCTGGTTCAGCGCTCGCAATGAGTACGTGCGGCGTAAACATTAGCGCAAACTCAAGCTATTGCTGTGTACAACAAAGAAGACCATAACGTCATAGACGATGACATGTTCGCAACGTTTCGACGTGGCCAAATTCAGCCCAAAAAATGACGCTTGGAAGCTACTGGATCTTGAAAAAGACCCTTGCTTCCAAACGAAGTAAATATGAAATAATATGAAAGATAATAGTCACACTACAATATATGCGACTCGTAACGATTCAATATTGAGGTACAAAGAAGCATTTAGAAATAGTTCACTCGGTTGCCACGTGCGTACTGATTAGCAAGACTTGTTCACACGAACCTATTTTTGCCAAGTTCTACAGCTGGTCATACATCGAATTTAGAAAAAATAAATGCAACTGTAAAATTGAAAATTAATAAGCAGCTCAATTAGGCAATCAGTACTTCAACAGTTCTTAGCAGTTGGTGTACTAAGTCGACACTGTAATACTAACACGGCTCGTTTCGTTACCCTACCATAAAGAAAATGATCCACCGCAAAATATCTTTTGGGTAACATTTGTGTCGAGAGATTTTAGAAGTGAACCTATATCCGAGTATGAAGCGAATACCCGCAAAAGAATAGGAGTTAAAAGTGGACCAATACAAATTACAAAGCAAATACCTACGCAAATATCAATCAAATAAAGACTTGGTCTCATTGGAAAACAGTATGCGAGAACACTACAATACAAGCTGATCGTTCGCGACAATAATGACAGGCAAATATTGCGCACTTATTTTAGATAACAATCATTCGGTGGAACTTCACTTACGATCGAAGTAGGTATAAGAATCTTCTCAATTGGAACGGAATTAAACTCCGGATATTTTATAGTTACGACTTCCATCTTCACGTTGAAAGCCCGGAGCACCTTACCCCATTGGAACAACAGACACATCGGGTCTAGTTAGATAAAGAGTAAATAAATACTTACTTTCATTAAATATTGATTACATTTCTAAACCAATTATACAGAGAATGGAATAAGGGACAATTTCAATAGAATTTCATAAATACTCTTTAAATTTATCTCATCTCAATGAGTTTATGACGAACAGAAACAAGAAAGAATCAGATCCGCACTTACAGGATAACCTAAGACTTTATATCGTACCTTAAGCTCATAAGGATAACCAGTATTCCACGCACTCGAAAAATTTCACAGAAGTAGACAATTAATCGCGAGTTTGCATTCGTGCAACATCAACTACATTATAATCTTCATCAAAAGGAAATTAATTATTCATACTACTCGTACTCTTATACAATATTGGCCATCTCAGAGAAACGCCCAGAGGTAAACGCTGCCTGAATGTATCATCGTTAGCTGGAGTCAGAATTTTCTGCTTCAAATTTGAAGCGTGAAGCCGCAAATAAGCCATTAGATATTAGCTGTTTGGCTCTCAGATATAGGATACATCCAGCGTTCAACAAGGTAATATCAAATTCAGGTAATAAGACGAACACCGAGCATCGTACACGCGGTCAAACACTGACAAAAATAATCACCACAAGAACCTTGACACGGAACCTCTAGAGTTGCATGCTCACAAGATGTGCTCATACGAGTGTTCTTATATGATGACATGACCACACCACGCACAACACCAAAGAAGGAACCAGACGGTCGTCATAACACGCCAAACACTCGCATCACCACATTACTCACTACTAATGTCTACGGTTTTCACTATTCTATCATCTACGAATGAGATTAAGTGTTCACTAAAGAGGTGAGAGCGTTATTGTCTAGCAAGAGCACCAAGAGAGGGCGATGCAGCAAAACAATTTTATCCAATCAGAGCCGCGGAATTACGATCTTCGTGCATCGTCCGCGTCCTAAAATACAATAGAATGAAACATCAACATAACAGCTAACGCTACACGGGAAACTTCCACGTGAAACCTGGACTCGCGGCGCAACAACGCGAGAACGTGTCCTGGCAACCGCAAATTAAAGGAAGGGAATGGCAAGAAACCTAATGCCACGGTCAAGACGAGGCCAAATCGGAAGAATAACACTTCTCAATTGCCAGCTATGTCGGTAGCCAGGTCGCTTTTTGGAAGGCATGAGGTTGCAATGAATGTTCGCAAGCAAAGAACTCTTGCGAGCAACTGGCCGTGCCTGCGCGTGACGTAACCAACGAATTTCCCGGGAGCGGAGGCTGCTCGGGGTCTAACGGTGTAACAACAAGAAGGCACATCGCTTGCAATAACAGCGAGTCAAATTGGTCAATAACGACTTAGAAAACAACCGCGATAAGCGAATAGAAGACCAAGGTTCGGAGGGAACTGAGGGGTCAGCGGGTACAACGGAGAGAAGGGAGCGACGCTTCATGGTACAAAAGAAGAAGATGAAGATAAGAAGGTTAGCTTTAGAAAATATTCAAAGAAGATAAGATTGCATCCATCACATGACAGTTGCTTGAGATTGACGGTAGCTGGATCTCATTCGTAACTAAAGTTAGAGCAGATGACACGGAAGATTTACAATTTGACAACGAATAGTTGAGGAGCTGAACCTACTGCAGAAATAAGTTTCGCACAATAATAATTTTCTATCGAGGAAATGCTAGGTTTAGGAGCCGAACTAAACAATGTTCACTATGAAGAAATACACAAGTATATAAAGGCGAAGAAGGATTTGAGAATCAGTAGAAGAGAACATCGTGTATTAAGAGCTCAGAATTAGTGCCCAGAAGGTAGGAGGAATACTAGCCTTGTCAACCACATCGTCCGCGACCAAATATAACGCAAGAATTGGATGGTCCGCTTCAGTTACACGAGTCCTGCATTTGATCGAAAATGCCACAGAATTACAAACTTTGGTAAATTACAGTAAAAAATAGAACCTATAACATTTCTCTAGCAACAAATTCAAAAAGTTTAAGATGGAAGACGTGCCTTATAAAGTTTCGTTGATCAATAACAATATATGTACGTGACTACAACAAAAACTACCACAAGCTGGTGCTAGCAGAAGCACCTTGCAGCAGCGCCACGGCCACCATAGTACCGTTGACAAGTTCAATCAGTACGAGTAGTGGTATTAGTAACTGCAATGGACGAGAAGACCAACGTATAATGAGATATACTACAGAAACACCAAGAAGACAAGTCAGTAGAGACGGCATTTACGGAAGCTACAGTCGTCACAAAACATGGCGGGTTCACGCATCGGCTATCTAGGTTGCATAGAGGGACTTTGTGTGATTAACATATGAAATGTTAACCCCGATAATCGGCATTACAATTAATAATGTCTTCAGGACGCCGAGATTAATTCCTCGCACGAAACCTAATGTAACAACAATATCTATGGTATCAAATTATTAAATCATTATCATCAGGAACACTGGCATTCAAATTTTTATGGAAATATTTCCTTCATGGCGTTTTAAGATTTTGCTACTCCGGACACTGAAATCAAGTTTTTTGCAAAAAAAAAATAACAATAAAAAATGTCGAAGGGCGAGACACGTGCTATGCTTTCTAGAAAACAGCGATGCAGGACTGCTCCGTCAAACACACGGTGTCTTTCTTGATAAAATGATACAAAATTTACATCAGCATGGAACAGCAAGTGTCGCATCAAAAACTGGAGCCCTTCACAGCTAAACTTGAATGTTCACGAGAGTGTAAATGAAAATGTAATTATTTCTTCAGACTACAGGAGCTAAACATGACTGCCAACTTCAGTTAGGTTAGAATTATTGCATTTGCCGTACTTTGAAATGACAAGGAAGCTCTCAGATGGGAGCGCTATACTCGACCTTCGCTCGTATTGCTGTGTACAATAGGCGATACTAATTAAAGGTTTATCTCGCCACTGCTCGCATTGCAAGGCATTGTACCGCACCTACGTTACTACAACAAGAACGATAAATACCTACATTACCTCATAGTAATAAGTGTACGCATCAATCGAAAAGGTATGCATAGATATTGCCAAGCAACTACGATCAAGAGAATCTCGCGTACTTGGCACTCAACAAGGTATGGTTCTGGCACGTGAAGTGTAGTCGCACGAGGCGGCTTTGCGGAGACATTTCACACAATTGATCTTTGTTCAACAAACGTAGATAAAATCATATGTTGATTAAGCAAATGAAATAAATAAACGACGTTAAATTAAGAGGTAGTCGGAGAACTATCTTCGGAACTAACCCCGTGTCGGCTCACGCTAACGCAACTAATGCCACAAAGAGCACATTTTAATGCCAGTAAATTTTATGATCCGCTTCAGGGAGATGTTGAAAAAGATTAATCGTAAAATAACGAAGAAGTTAACACAGTCGATGCTACGTTACAACTTTGAAGAGCTACCTCAGAGAAGAAGGCGTAATGCCTCAGCGACCATTAACTAAATTGAACAAGAGGAATCAAGTGTTCAGTATCAACATTACCACAAAGGGTCACGCGCACAAACTTCAATTGTTTTCTTCTACTCGACCCTCGAAATACAGAACGCAATACTCAACAATGTTTTGCATAGTCAGGTGATTTCTGCTGACACGTGAGCAACAATTAAGAAAAACGTGAGGGTCTTAAGAAAAGCCTATGACTGAAGGCAACCATTAACAATGAACATCAACAACGCCATCAAATCACAGGAGGGTCGCAAGGCTCGGCCGCTTGAGTGCTCGTCTCACGCCGTACGCGTCGAGGTCTCAAGTCAGCAACGTAAGAGCATTTGAATGTTTGCTTACATCGGAGTCACCAGCTAACTGTAACTATGTAAGAACTATTATACACTTAAATAGGATGCACTACAATCATCTTCACTTACAAGAGATACTAGGAGCTATAGTTTTACTAGGACTTTATGATATCGTTACTTGAATGAAGTCGTGAATGGACGCATGTCGAGCTAAACACGACAGTGCGACCGACATCTTAGTTCCGTCTCATTCTCGTTGTCCTACAATCTGCTGCGATCAACGTACAAAATGGATGTGCAAATGCATCAAAATAAAAATGATTACTAACATTACAATTTAAATTTTCGGTTTTCTTTCCCTGGATAAATGATAAGCACATATAATCGAACTGGAGCTCATCTAAACGATTAACGGAACAATCAACTACAAAAGACGGTCAAGAACGACGACGTCAGGTTCGCTTTCAGTGCATCGCTTGGAAATCGAACAGGGTCTTCAGTGCACCGTGCAGCTCCGACAACCCTCCTCCTGTTTAACCAAAATTCCATCTCCTGAACAAAAATTTTGTAAACCATACAGCATTTCCATGACACTATTCCAACGAGAGCAAGATCAGCGTTTATAGCGAAATTGACGTGACATACATAATAATTTTTTTTTATTAGCCAGAGCTACAACGCCTGCGAGCAACTGTCTCTGCTCAGAAGACGAACATCCCACTCCGTATGAGTGAACATATCGCAAACGCGCGGCGATGTTGTACGTTGAACAAAACTAGAACTGGAGAAGAGCAGTTGCAAAACATCAGCACCACCAACGTACGAGTATCGTGTGGACAGAATCTTTATGGTGAGCAAAAGAAATGCACCGGTACAATATATTGCAAGCCTACAGTCGAGTTGTTACACCCGATGTTTCTAAGGAGAACGACATTAATTTGTCATATAGAATAATATCTTTAGCACGCACACGTGACGAGAAATTAGATGAAAACTTGCCAATTGAGGCAAAGACGTTGCACTGGGTTATGCTATCACCACAGCTGGTGCAAGTTTAGCATATACGGTAATAGAGATACAACTTTGAAATTTCGGTATTCACATAATCAAATTCCAATTTTGAACGCGTTTTACAGCATACAAACGCTACCGAAATGGAGAAGCCGTAGCAGAACAAGTTGTAGGAGACTGAATAGCAGAGGTGTTTGCTTCAACATAACGTGCGGGTGGCACATCGAAAGCAGGCAAGGTGTTCTGCCCGCGAAGCAAAGAATGCATAGGAAATGATGAGCAGGGAGTGGAAGGATTAGCCAAGAAAGGAACTTGAGCAGCAGGAGCAGGGAAAACAGAAATTGCTGGGGAAACAGTGGTAGCGGATACATCGGCGTTCCTGTACTTGGCCCCAGCAGTGGGAGAAGTGCTGCTCGTAGGTCTCAAATGATCACAAAACATTGCAGCTGTAGGGGCCTTGTTCGAAGTCGAGCTAGAATTAGCAGCAGCAGTAGCAGCATTGGTGAAGAAAGTCGTCATACCTGGGCTGCAAAGCGGTACAGCAGCAGCACAGGTGCCTTGAGGCGAGGCAGCAGCAGCAGCAGTAAAAGTGCCATGAGGAGGTGAAGTTTCTGAGGTCTGACAACCACTCGAGCCATGAGTATCAAAGACGGGCGTCTGCTTGCCTGGGACTGAGTGCGCCAACAGAGTATTCGAGTACAGGACGGAAGTAGAAGCCCCGCACGAACTAACGGCGCGGGTTTCCGTCCCTGAACAACTCTCCACACCAGAATTGCTGGACACTCCTGAAACATCCCTGGCGTTCACAGAGGAAACATTTTCCAGGTCACCAAGGCCATGATGACTCTCCTGCAGCGCCACGAGACCAGGGTAGTGGAACATGACGGTGGCAGCGGGGCTTGTGTGCGCGGTGGGGTAAGGCGAGTAGACCGCGTAGTAGTGCGATGGCTGGCCTACACTCGCTGCAGCAGCCGCCGGTGGCGAGGCGCTTAAAGAAGAAGCCTGACTGCGTGAGGGCCACTGACCCGAACACTGAGACGTGATGGAGGAATTGCGTGCAGAAGGAGCAGCAGTCACGGACGGTGAGGAAGGCGTGGGGAAAGAGTAGAAGAAATGCGGGGCAGCGGCGGGATAATGAGAGGGATGTTGGCAAGGACACAACCACGAGTGGAACGGCGAAGAGGAAGCAACTGGTGAAGGTTGGAGGAGCATGGGCGGGGCTGAGTAGGGACTGTACTGCGGAGTAGTTGGCCATAACAAGGCCGGCATGTTGCAGCTTGAACTATCATTGGGCCAGCACCAAACAGGCATGGCAGGACGTGGGCTGCACACGAAGGGCTGGGATGAAGCGCACGAGCCCACAGCTTCGCCAGTCTGAACAACAGAGACAAGGAATTAGAAGTGAAATGGTGCTGCAACAGCGCACGTGCAACTCATATTAACTGCAGTTGCGAGGTAGGGACAATGAATGAGGCACTAATTGAAGAAGTTAATAGAGATGAAATAATACTTGGTGCATCTTGATAAATGCGACAAGAATGGCGTAGAGGAATCATGAGAAATTGAGTACAAAATATAATAAGAGAAAATTTGTATAAAACACACGTGGTCAGGGGCGTTATATGTATGACATGACTTACGTTGTCGGGGGCGTTAACTGTATGACATGACTCACATGGTCGGGGGCGTTACCGGTATATGTATGACATGACTCACCTGGTCAGGGGCGTTATATGTAAGACATGACTTACGTTGTCGCGGGCGTTATCTGTATGACAAGACTCACGTGGTCGCGGGCATTATCTGTACAGTTGCTGAGATGGTCAGAGTAGCAAGAATCGAGGGAGTTGAAGGCACTGCGGTGCTTGCCGGCATTTCCCCCCAAACTTGCGTCCGTCAAGCTCGGCTGGTTATTGCAATTTTCAATCCTGTTCTTAGGGCCTTCAAAACGCTGCACTCCGCTACAGTTGGCACTACCAAGTAAGTTGGATTCGTCTTTATACACGAGCGCGGGGTCGGTGTTAAGAACTTGCTCAGTATTATACAAGGCAAAACCTTCAGTTGCTGCAAGCTTGTTGCCAGAGGGCACGTCACACGCTGAGAAGCTATCGCTGGCATCGCTAAACACAGGCATCAAGTCGCTACTGTCCGAGCCAACAGCTTCCAGAGTATGAGAAGCATTTCGAGACAAAAAACATGAATTGCACGATCCCAAAGAAAGCGACTGCGATCGAGCACATGTTGAACACTCTGAATTGTTAGATGATATACTGCTGCTGCTGCTGCTACTCTCACTGGAGGTAGAGGTCTCCAAGCGAGCTCTTCCCTGCTGCAGTTCATACTGCTCACATGACAGAGGTAGGTTGTGGCTACTGGAACGCTCGGGCAAAAAGGGCGAGAGCGTGACGGGGTCAAGACGGTGGCGACGTGAATAAAGCGACGCCGAGTGAGACGGTCGAGGTGACGAGTGCTTGGGGTGGCCCAAGGAGTGAGTCTTACGGCTTGATTGCGCAGGACCAAGGGGCTGAGATTTGTGGGGAGAAGAACGCCTTGGGTACCCAAGCGAGTGTGACTTATGATGATACGAACGACTTGACATGCCAAACAAGTGCGATTTGTGGGGAGAGCAGCGACTAGAATACCCGAGCAAGTTGCACCTCAGGGACGAATTATGAACAAGAGCCTGGGACTTGCGCGGTGAAGATGAGTGCACAGGTTGGGCTGGGCTAAGCTGAGCTAATGAATTTGAAGAACAAAAAGACTCGAGGCAGCTTGGATGCTGGCAATCGGGCTTCATTAGTAGTCCGGGAGAACGGTTTAGTGAAGCAAGGACAGATGGTGGGGTGGCCGCCACAGTGTCAGGTGGGAAGTTAAGTGATGAGACACCAGCCGGGAAGAGGTTGCGTGAAGATGAATCCTCTACCGTGCGTGCAGGAAGGGATACGTTGAGAGGCAGAGAGGCATGTGATGGAAGGGAAGCATGTGAAGGAAGAGAGGCATTTGGAGGAAGAGAGGTATGTGAAGGAAGAGATGTATGTGAAGGAAGAGCAGCATGAGAAGGAGGAAGAGAGGCATGTGAAGGAAGGGAAGCATGTGAGGGAAGAGAGGTATGTGAAGGAAGAGAGGCATGTGAAGGAAGAGAGGCATTTGGGGGAAGAGAGGCATTTGGAGGAAGAGAGGCATTTGGAGGAAGAGAGGCATTTGGAGGAAGAGAGGCATTTGGAGGAAGAGAGGCATTTGGAGGAAGAGAGGTTACCGTGCGTGCAGGAAGGGATACGTTGAGAGGCAGAGAGGCATGTGATGGAAGGGAAGCATGTGAAGGAAGAGAGGCATTTGGAGGAAGAGAGGCATTTGGAGGAAGAGAGGCATTTGGAGGAAGAGAGGCATTTGGAGGAAGAGAGGCATTTGAAGAAAGAGAGGCATGTGTAGGGAAAGAGGCATTTGGAGGAAGAGAGGCATGTGAAGGTGAGTGTTGAGGCCGCTGCACGTCAGTAGCTCTACCAGGCTGAAAAAAAAAACAGAAAAAATTACCTGCCAATATAAAAGTGTCGTGTAAAATAGTTCATTTTATAGCACAAGTTTAAAGGTAACGTAAATTCAAAAAAGAAGCATGCTAGTGCCATACTATGGTTAGTAACAAGCTTTACGATAATCGTACATACACTTGAACTCAAACAAAATGCACACTAACAGCAGAAAAATTATATTTCAAGCACAATTTTTAATCAGTTAATTCAATTACCCACAGAAAATTGATTCCCATACAAATCGTTCACATTATAAACAAGAGGAAAATTCTTTATAATAAACTTATTAAGTTACATACTATAACCGAAAGAAACAAAAATTTCAATATAAAAGTATCCTGTTACATCAACTGTAAAAACGCAGCAGCTTACCTTCATTAACTCATGAACCTAAGTGTATGCAAGAGTCTCGGCCTAGTATAACTTGGTGTCTGTCAAACATCCAGAGATGCTACAACTTAATTTTCTAGACAAGATACTGCAGTGCCATTATTTTGCAATATTTTAGATGGTATAGATTTTAAAATATTCAACTGAAAGGATGCACCATCAAAATGAAACGTGTTTTGCCTTTCCTCAACGAATCACATAAATTCAATACTTACTTCATGAAATCAGGCATCCAACGTACGATCATTGATTAATCGGAGAATATACTAACGTGCATCTTTTCTAATTGTTATTTTTGTCTGCAAGTAAATAATAACCTGCCGAGGCATGTGCTACTGATATAAGTAAAACGAGTACGTAAAGCCTCTGATGGAAGTAAAATTTTTGTGTGACGGGAGGTAACCTTAAGAAATTAAGTGTTATTTTAAAACAATAATTAGCTATGTTACGTACAACACCTCGTTTAGGTATTGAAGGCCTGGCGATTGGCGATATTGCAGAGTTGTTTCAACACTGATTGCTTTCAAAAAATTGTACGAAGTACAGGGAGAAGTCTGGAAGTTTAAGTAAATTTCGAAGCCGAACCACATTCTTTAACACTGACATATCCGGATTCATTGACAAGACAGCAATTTATTTTGGGTGCGATGCAAGTAAATTGGAATAACCATAGAATCTAACAATGCTGGTAAATTGGACTGACTATTAAAGGCTTAAAAGCTCACAATGTTGGTAAGGTGAGTGTAGTAATCAATAAGTTGGATCAGGGAGAATGTAGGGGGAGTTCTGCTGAGCGGCGGCGTAGATTCCTCCTTCACTGCTTATGTAGCCCACGTTGCCAGCGTTGGGCTGTAAACAAAGCATTAGTGTCACTTGGCTACAACCCGACCCTCGAGGTAGCCACCAACCCCAATGCAGAAATCTACCAGAAACCTCGATTCAAGAGGAGAGAAAAATAATAAATGGCATGAATATATCACAAGTTTTATACAGCTAAATGTAACTAGAGCTATGATGATGAAAAATTTAATGGAACAAAAGCGCCCTCAAGAAGGTATGCAGATAAATTCTCATATTTTTGGACTAGCATGAAGAAGAGCCGCTGAAGGTTCAGAATTGACCACAACGCATGGTACCCAAACAAAAATAAAACACAAATGAACTTCTGTTCCAGAGTTTGAAAGCACCTCCTGTTTACGACTTACTTAACTGGCTTTTAATAACAAACAATTTCGAATATTTGGACACGAAATTTGATGTAGCAGAAACCCAACAGGTTCATTTCATACAAATTGAATTAATTTGGAGTTTATGAAAAATACAGAGCATTTATAACCTATTACACAATAGAACTTGTTGAAAGTTTCAGTGATGTTACTATAGCATGCAATAAAAAAGTTCCAAACTAACCACATCTTATAGAAATAAATGTAGGGGTGCATATAACAGCAAGAAAATAAGTCACAACTAAAATTACTACGGATTGGATTCAATTAACGACACAGAAAATCAAACTTGGTACTCCCATCGAAACAGAGTTTAATTGGCCTGACATTCAATACAGCATATCAATGAAAAACGTTTGAAAGTAAGTCAACAAAAAACGTGTAATGAAGAATTCCAGTTAATACTTTTACTACCGATTTATGGACCGTAAATAAATATTCCTTCCTCAAGGCCAGGGGCCGTAATATCACAACTCGCTTCAGTGCATGTAGCGGCCTAAGTACACGTAGCGGCCGATTTATTGGTTGTGATCTGTGGGTTTAGCTTGAAAATTTCACATTGAATGGTTAATGGAATTACGAACTCTTAACAATTTTTGATAGTACGGCCCCTGTTAACTAGAGTTACCGTGTGTAGACAAAGTGATGCATGATGTTAAAGTGATAATAGATTTTAGTGCAGCAAAGCCGGCACGTGCCTGATGTTGGCTGTGGGCGGCAGCAGCCGCAGCTGCATACGCCTGGGGGGAGAACCAGCGCCACTGCTGTGCAGCAGCGCCTGCAGCTGCCGAGGCCGCAGGCCAGCCAGCTGCAGCTGCAGCAGCTGCATTGTGCTGCGCCACCTGTTGCTGGTATAGCTGTTGTTGCTGGGCTGCCTGACAACGCACAAGAATACCGTAAATAGTAAACAGCTCAATACCACAATGTTATTGTTACATAAAATGAAAAACCAAGTTTCAGAAATTAAAGTTTTACAATAAAATAGGCAAAGAAGACACATGAAGGCATGTAACTAAGTGAACTAAACAAAAGATTTCATGTACACCAAGTCACCTTGCAAAAAATATTTTCATGAAAATGGAACACATCCACACAAAACCTAGGAATTTAATAAAAAAAATTCACTGCATAGTAACCTACTGCAAGAAACTACACAGCATGCAGTTTTCCGGCCCAATGTGTTCAAGAACCAAATACACTCAGCTAAGCAACTTCTCAATTAAAATTGAATGAAACACTTTAACACGGTGAAAAATACGGGTGTTGCATGTCAGGCTGCCTTGACTGGCCAAAAATAATTTCCAACTATATTCTGTTCAGTTATCTAGCTGCTTCGACTGAATCAAATAATCTCAGGAACTAAATACTCAGTAAATAGTAATCTAGTGACGTTGGACGTCACACAACATACGAACGTTGCTCACACACATGGAGATGTGTGAAAAATTCCTATAAAGTAGCTATACTGTGGCAAGCAATAGTGAAGTGTTCTCTCACTGCAGCGTGAAGCTGGTAATGAGGGTAGTAGAGGGTGTGAGGGTAGGCATAGGTGGCAGCAGGTGAGGCGCTGTGAGGCTGCGCATACTGAGGCTGTGTAGGGCTGCTTGAGCTGCCACCGTTTGACACAGCAGCCATGGCAGCTGCCTGCTGGGCAGCAGCGGCTTGGCTCTGATATGCCGCCTGCAAAAAATTAGAAATAAGCATCATGTAAACCTAAAGTCTTCTGCAAGCAACATATTCAATTTTTAAAGTCCTCTACAAGTGATAAAATGATCCCAGTTGCTCCCCAGATATTCAGACATAATTTCACACTCTGATATTCAGACATAATTCAGACATATCCCCAGATTTTCAGACATAATCTGACTACCTGAAGTCCTCTGCAAGCAACATGGAAACCTTATGTCCTATGCAAGCAACAAAAGCTCCTGCAAACCAACAAAATTGTATAACAAAAATATTGTGTCTTCGCAAAATGATAATTGCTAAACAAAATGGAAGGTGCACACTAAAGTAACTGAAATCATCAAGAAGCTTGCTCCCCAAACATATAATGGCTCCTGAAAATGATCTCATATGAGTCACAGTGGAAATCATATCACAGTGGAAATAATTACAAATACATTTTTCCTAATTAGTTGAATAGTTAAATAAAATGAATGAAAAAATGCTACAAATAACCTGAGTAGCCAAATGATGCTGATTAGCATAAGCTAATGTAGGATGATGTCCAGCAGTGGCATACTCGGGCTGAACGCCCCCCTGTGAATTGGCAGCAGCTGCAGCAGCAAGCAGCTGCTGTTGCTGCTGGTTGTAGTAAGCAGCAGCGGCGGCAGCAGCAGCAGCGGTAGGGTTGGTAAAGAACACCGTGGTTGCAGGGTTGCCCGCCACCATACCACCAGCACCCGTCACCCCATCCACCAGGCGCGGAGAGTATGCCTGCTCAGTACCCAGTGATTATGAACGCAAAAACAAGGTTGAGAAATCTGATGAGAAGTGATGGCAGGACTTGTATTTAAAGGTTATAACACAATAATTTTCATATTTTTCCTCATCTGATGCAAAAAAAAAAAAAAAAAACTTTGGTAAGAAATTCAGAGATACCAAGATTCTTTGTAATGAAGTTGATTATGATTAAAGTGTAGAATATTACCCTGAAACTACAGGGTCCTGCAGCAAGGACCATGTGACTTCATAACATGATGCAATAATGTCTGTATGCTGACATTACTCATAATCACGAGTACCTACCTTCATGAAGCCGCCAAAGTCAGAGACTTGTTTCTTGATAGCAGGAGCAATATTGAGCTTCCTCTCCTTCAGCATGATATTGTCTGCCTGTTGTTCATAAAGCATCCATCAGAGGCTGGCTTGTAACCATCAAAGTAATGAACAAATCTGCACTATGCATTACTTTATCTAGCCAAGTTCATTAAAATGACTGTCATTTTCATTCAAAACTTGTGGGAGTTAAGTTTCTTCAGCTGTCTAATAATTGGTAAAATACTCCTAATTATCTTACTTGAACAGTCAATGAAGGTCTCCACTCAGAATATACAAATTACTTTATTTAAAGAGAATGCAAAAATGTTTCTTGAAAAATAATTATAGAAATTACAGTCAATTTATTCTAAATTGCAGGCAATCTCAACTTCCATCAATACATGAAAAAATTAACAACAAAGTACAACAGTGATTCTTGTTTGATAGCAAAATTAAGTAGGAAGCAAAATTAGCCATTTTGAATAATAAAGTACCGTACGTACTTGAAGTAGCAAAAACAAATAATGAAGTAATTGATGTAATAAAAATGAATAATGAAGTAATTGTTGTAATAAAAATTAATAATTAAGTAATTGAAGTAGTAAAAACAAATACTGGAGTAATTGAAGTAGTAAAAACGAATAATGAAGTAATTTTAGTAGTAAAAACGAATAATGGAGTAATTGAAGTAGTAAAAACAAATAATGAAGTAATCAAGGCCAACTACCTAATGACTAAGATTAATAAATAATTAAATATATCTTTAATTTTTTGTCAATCTAGGTAAATTCATTCATATTTCAAGCATAAAGGCAACGATGAAATAAAACATTAATTAGAGACTGCAAACCTCTTGAGTTAATCTCCTGGCCTCTTCTTCTGTCTCAAATGTGACAAAACCATATCCTTTGGAGACGCCGGCCCTGTCGTTGATGACTTTAGTTGCTTTGACGGTGCCATAGTTAGAGAAGAGCTCCAGCAAGTCCTGTTCTGTTGTGCTGCTCGATATGCCACCCACAAATACTCTGCAAATAAAAGACTAATCAGTGTACAAATAAAAAATGTTCAATTATAATTGATTATTAGTAATTTATAAGCAATTATTTTGAAATTAATGCTGATGATGGACAATAGAGGTAAATTGCCTTCATATTCATATTGCCTTCATATCTTAATTTGAAAAATTAAGAATTTAAGAAAATTGAGGCTCAACCATTTCTAGGTAAATTATTGAGAGAAAGTCATCAGCACAAAAACTTATTTTCCCAAATGTTAAATTGATTTCTATTTGATGAAACCAATGATAAACATAGACTAATATCACTAATACAGCAAGTCAAGCATGCACAAAGTGTATCCAAGTTAAGATAATAAATTCAAATGAATGCTGTAAAATCAACCTGTTTGGGATGACAGTTCCAAACTTGGGTGCATTGGAGCCTCCCACGCTGCTGGGTGCAGGAGATGGAGATGTGTCGGCACTCTTAGGACTCGACTGCAGCAAGAACATGCATCATTAGGATTCCAACATTCAAAGGTATAGGAGCCTAACCCTAAATTTAAAAGAAACCAGAAGACATTTAAAAAACTAGTATACACAATTTATCATTACAACATTGATACAAATATCTAGTTATCCTTGTTGAAAATCCTTATTGTATAATTATATTTTGATCATAAAATAAATAGAGCTTAGTTACATATGAACATTTGATGAGAATCTTTACCAGTGAACAGAATAGATATCAATTAAAAGCTTAGGAACATAAATTTTAGTATTAAAAGTAACATACCACTGACAAAAGATCGAAACAAAAATGAAAGAGTACACATGCACACAGCTTTGGCTTTCAAATCAGAATTAAAAATGGACAAACCATTTTGATAGAATAGCATTACTCAACACTACTGAAAATAATTGTACTTTAAAACCCATTCAGGCTTATGGACTTCAAGTTTAAGGGGAGCGTCTGGGGTAAAATTTATCTCGGCTATTTACAGACGGCTCACTCTGAAACTTGGTACACATATGTAAAACAGAATTCTAAGACATTTTTGTTTGTGTGAATTTTTCAAAAAAATGAAAGAAAATGTGAAATTCTTAGAAAACGGCCAAAAAGGGGGGTACCGTAGAAATCTATCTCCTTCTAGGATTTTCAAGCTATAACATCCAGACACATATCATTTGCTGTGTGAATACCATATCTAAAACAGAACACGACGGTTTTTAGGATTTCTCATTTTTGTGGGTGTGGGAGCATTTTTCATAAATTTTTGGAAAATTTTTTCAATTTTCCCCCCTGCCACCCCCTTTTTTGCGGAATAAAATCCAAACTATAACAAAATTATAAAAATGCCCGTGTTCCGCTGTAGATAATTTTATTGCGCATCGAATAGTACATGTCTCATTGCTGTAGCTTAAAAACTCTAGGAGATAGGTTTGCAGTGATAATAAGTTAATTGTTCAGTAGAGCCTGACAAAGTCCCAAGCGCCTCGAAATAAGCGTTCAAGGTGGCAAGAATGCAAGACTAGGCAATACTGGAGCTCAATTCCTTTCAAGGATGGTGTGAACGACGACACGCAAACCCTCCCGTACAACTGCAGGCGGGTAACTGAAGCACATTGTATGTGGACTAGCTATTCAAGTATGCTACCGGTAATTTTCCCCTATCCTAAATGTGAAAGAACTCCACCACCCCCCACCCTTTCGCGATCTGTCGTGAACGCATAAATCAACTTACAGAAATGATTTTGGTACCGTTGAATAGAGCAGAATGTCAGCTTTAAGACGAGATTAAAAACTGGAAAAGCCAAAATTAAAAAATTTTGACCAGACACTCTCCTTAATAGGAGCTTTAGAGTCTTGAGAAGTAATTCAACAGACCAAGCCTTCAAAAGCTTTTAACAATTTTGGAATGCAAGATACCCTACCCACTAGATGAATCATTTCCAATATAAATGTTCAAAAATGTATGATTGGCAATACCAAAATGTTATCAGAACTTGCTTCAGTACAAGTAGCGGCCTAAGGACAGGTAGCGGGCTAAGTACATGTAGCAGCCTAAGTACATGTAGCAGCAAGAGTACAAAAGGGCACAGTATTCCAAATTAATAGCAAAAATGTCACCACTTCGGAGGCAGCTCCACATTAGGAGCTGCAAGATTCCAGTAAAATGTTTAAAAATTCTAATCTTGACCATGCCTAAGACTTCAGAAAATGAAATTCCACTGGTAATAAAGGAAGGACCATTCCAAAAGGATTGGGATATCCTGTAGCATCCCTGCAGTCATCTTGCATTGCTGCACATGAGCAGCATTCAGATTGAGAACTAATGCTAGGTAAATAGTATGACTAATAATTTAATACTGGCATAAGCAATTCTTATCTCAGGATACAGAGTGTGAGCAAACGTCTGAAGCAGTGTGGAATTCCAGAGGGGTAATATATTAACTGGTAAACATTGTAAATCAGTAAGCAGGACCTTAAAATCTGGAAAGGCCAGCATACTTCCACTTCCAGTGCATCATCACTGATGAGTCTCTGCAAGCTGCCATAGCAGTTTACTTGGCAAAAACAATGCTTGCATCATCACAGTAACAAGAATCCAATCAACGCTTGAACACATGCAACTTAACAGTCACAGGAATCCAATCATAGCTAGAAAGTGTGCAACATCACAGTCACAAGAAGACAATCAGCATCAGAAAGGGTGCAACATCACAGCCACTGGAATCCAATCAGCATGAGAAAGCTAGAATGGACCGCCCCCAAATGCACACAATATTGATGCACTGATGATAATTTAATGCTACTGTAATTACAAACACCAGCAATTCTTACGATGACAAACTAATTGCAAAAGAAGATCCTGAAATTTTTTCTAAGATTTAATTGAAGGAACAGCAATTAGATAACAAGACCACATCTTTGAATGACAACACGCTTGAAGAAGTTAGTTCATTTCTTATTTCAAGTGTGTAATACAATAATTTAGTTCTGTCACTATCAATAGAAATTGCAAAGAATAACATCTTCACTATGTACATTCACTCACAAATACATGAAAAACTGCCTATGATTCAATCCACAAATGCAAAACTGATCACTGCTGCACTCAGCTGAGACTTACCAACTCCTTCCACTTGCAATCAGGAATACCATAAAAAAAAATAATAATAAAATAAAATAGGAAAGAAGGTAGCAGAGATACCAACCAATAGGACACCAATATACTCATGTGAAGAAATTAAAGATACAAATTCTTGTACATTACAAATATTTCAGTAACTGACATCCAACAGAATGGTTTAATAACCTTTGTAAATGTTATACATGCATGCAGAATCAATCGTGTGCAACAAAGAAGGTGGCAGGAAGACTTTTGGCACAGCTTCAAATCTAATGATGGTTAATTATCATTACGCGATTGGTGGGCATCTTAACTACGGTGCATTAACTGCAAATGAAGCTCCAGCCCATGCTGATCAATGGACACTTCAGTTCTATACTCCATAGGTTTTATTATTAAATTTTGAGATGATAATTTAGTGAAAACTTTACACGATATATTGTGAGCCTTCTAAAGTTCTAATAATGTAGAAATCACAAGGTTCACAGAATCTAAAGGTTCGAATGCTAAATTTTTGAGTACTCTACTCTAGTCAGTCAACCAAGTCAAGTGTCATGTGCATTGCCTTTTATCAATAATTTTCTCCAATGCCAATAAGTTGCTCCTCAATTTGAAAGCTGACATAATGAATAGGTGGAATAAAAGATTTTTTACATTTAATTTGAAACTGTTATGTTAAGAGTAAATAGTAAAAGCCATATTTAGTTCTTCCTGATGAGCTGTTAATTTAGTCTGAGTGAGTAAGGAGAGTGGAGAGACTTTATTGCCCTTCCTTTCTCAGTTTTTGATGAATGTAGAGTGCTATGATTAAGAAATTATATATTTTGGATTAAGTTGGATATGGTACCAGCTTTGTCATATGTAAAATATCTCATGACATCTTGAACTTGAAGTAGATCAGGAAATTGAAAAAATACTTGCAACTGAAACATCTTGTTTGCCAATATAATTACAGCGTTTGAATTGAAGTAGTAATAATTCACTAATTATCAACTGTGAAACACTATGTTGTTGCCACATCTTACTCACTAACAGCAGCCATTATTTAATTCAAGCATTCACATTTAGTATTGTTTACCATAAGCATGCATTTGAGCTGGTTGGGAGTTTGATGCTAACCTATCTTCCAAATTGGCTTCAGGTATGATTTTCAGAAATAATTTAAACAATTTAAGAGTAAACCAATTATGACTCTAGAAGAAAATAATTTGGTGTGCTCTGAATCAACTGATGAAACTCTTGAACAACTATCACATCAAGTGCTCTGAATCAACTTGTATATAGGCAACTTTTGCATTTGAATATGTATATTGGCAAGATCTAATGGAACTTTCTTCAGAATCAAGAATGCATTCTTTACTGGCAGCAAAATTTAAGATCTCTTTTGCTCACCAGAGAGTGATGCATCTCTACTGGCTAGCTTGGAAACGATCATACCAGGCGCGACGCGCATGCAGCCTTCCCAAGATCTCCCTTGCTCATCGGTGAGTAAAGAGTCTCTACTGGTGTCAGTAAATTCTACCTTGTAAATTCTACCAAGTGCAATTTGTGCACTTCCTTCTCTAGATCCCTCTTGCTCATCTGTGAGTAACACATACAATTAACGATCTTGGGACCTTCTCTCAGTCCTCTGTGTTGCCTAATGCCAAAAATCAATTTCTGACTATGAGAAAGCCCATTTCTAGTTGCCTGGAATGTTTTTTTTTAAGGCAGAAAGCATTTTTTAAGTGAACCACATATCAGATTCTGATGACCTTTGGTAACACATTAGCATCTTAATCTGTTTCTTCAGAAGATTTTGCCAACACATTTCTCTTCATATATATATATATCTTACATGTATTTATGACAAAACTTGAAAGTTTAGGCATTTCTGCCTACATTCTACAATTCCTAAAAATTCTAGTAAATTAAGCTAACTTTGGATTAGAATTTTCCTACCTATTTTTAAAATCTTGCAACTCGAACAGAATAAATTTTCAATACATTTGGAATTTTGCAGCCTAATTGTGCACTTTTGTTAGGCTAGGAGCAGGAATCTCATGCCTCATGGTTCCAAAAATGGTGAGAAGGCTCTAGTTGCAGCCCTAAAAGTGGATACTTTCCATGCTAGCTGCTAGCCTGCTAGGGCCTAATAAAGTAATCTTGCTGACACAATTGCCAAACTCTGCATATATGGGTCAGTGTCACATCAAATTTATATTAGCCTATGCATAATAAAATCTTACACTTACATTTACACTTGTAAAAAATTCACTCATGATTGAACAAGACAAAAAAAAAAAAGTCTACAAAAAATAACTTTAGAGCCATACAATTTTAGGAAAGGCAAAATTTTTCCTATCTTGCAGCTAAGCATTTGTTGTCAGGAATTTCTTCTTTAAATTTCAATTCTGTGACTTCTCTGCTGTAAATTTGTTTGTTCAGTTTTGAAGAAATAAGTGCAAATAAGTCATTTCAGTAATTCAGGTGACATGGCATTGCATAATGATGACTGTTGACTAATGTGACAAACATAGTGGCAAAGCAGAGAGTTTTTTAGACTCTCCCTCAAGTTCATTTTTGAGTCCTATAAGTAGACAAGTAAAGTATCCTGGATACCAGCATTATTATACATAAGAAATTGGTATAAATCTGAAGTAAATGAGGAAATTAAAAATGAACTGATTCTGAAAAATCTGTGCTTTGTCACTATGGTGACAAACCAGAGATTTGTCTACAATCAGTTGATTTTTAATTTACTAATTTACTCAATACTCAAGAATTGAACCAATTTCATACATATGATAATTCTGGTACCCGGGCCATGATAGTGATGATACTTTACTGGTCTACTTATATCATTAAAAAATTAACTTAAGGGAGAATCTAAAAAAAAAACCTCTGCTTTGCCACTAACTGACTCAGCAGCAGAGATAAGGTGATTAAGGTCAAACTGAAAGGAATATGCAATTGTGTTTTTTTCCAGAATTATTACATTTACCATAATTAATCTCTTCAATCCACCATAAAGCATAAACATTGATGACTGATGACAAGAGTATGCTTTCAAACAATCTAACAACGAGTCTGACTGTCTGAGACTTGTCTGTAAGAACAAATAACTAATGATTGCAGAACACTCTACCAATTTAACTATATATCAATTCTCACTTCTCAGCTTAGCTAACTGGACTATAATAAAGAATTTTTTTTACTTTTGAATTATTAAATCTACTAAATAGTTAAAACAAAACAATAGATTAACCAATAGACACGCACACGGCCATGTTGTACGTGAAAACGCGTTCAAGTACTAACAATAAGTCACACTACTACGGTAACTTTCATGCAACATTGCACACAAAGTACTCGGCAACGCTGTCAAGTGTCAACAAAGGACAATCTTACCATGTTTGGTTATATGAATGATGTTATTAATTTACTGGATGAAATTCAACATTTCACATGCTGTTTAGAACTCCTACTAGCAAGCTGGATACAAATCTCTAATCAACGAACTCTAACACTTGTCAAAGCCACACAGGACACCGGCAACGTACACAGCCCTGCCAGCACTATTTTCAGATTGCAAGGAGGGACGGATTTTGTGGCGTTACCATACAGAAAAGGCAATATCCTTGAAATAGTGTCATCGATTCTCTATCGGTATTCCCGCTAACTGAGAAACGGTGATTTTAAATTCCCATTTAGCATTAAAGAAATGTATTCTTATTGAAAAATTCTTATCCACGATAAGGGAATCGAAAACTAATGGATGAAATGAGCTTAGTCCGCTTGCCGAATTTAGTTCAAAAAAGGTATTTGCTGATTTCAGCGTGAGAGTCACATCTCGGATAAATTTACGGCGGGACTCGCGGCCGGTCACACGGCCAATCTCTAAATTCATTTATCAAGAAATATCTCCCAAACTAATGAACGAAGCTCGATGAAACTTGGTACGCGTATACACCAAGACCTTACTGTGATGTTTAGCTCGTATTTTTTTCATTACAACACTTCTCTTTAAATAAATTATTTTGAAAAGTTAAAAAAAATTTTTTTTCAATATTAAAAAAATTGAAAAAATAATTTTGTCAGCTACAAATCTTATAACTGATATTTGACACACTTTTACCTGTCTAATTGATCTGAAATTTTGCACACTTGTGTGAAATCAGAGGCAATGCATGAATCAATTAATAAAATAAATAATTTTGAAAAAAATATATATTACAAAAATTCATATATTAAAAAAATTGAAAAATTAATTTTTTTAATATTCGAAAATTAAATGAGAAATTCATTGTACATCTGTAAGATTGGAGATACTGGATTCTTTGGAAGTGTTGTCTTTAAAAAGTAATTTTTAAACGTATATTATTTAATTTCGCCTTCATTTGTGAGTTACATGGCAATTCGGACCAAAATTCGCAGTGTTCGAGGAATTTTTTCCAGACTACTTAACAGATTTGAACGAAATTTTGAATATACATTCTTAACTTCGAAACGGAGATGTTTAGCACCGAATCGACACTTCTGTGAACTCGCTTGTCAAAACTACATGCACAACTTAACCAGCCATAACTCCTTCAATACTGAACGGATTTGATTGAATTTTGGAATATAAGTAGGTAGATATTGTCAATACGCTGTGATATGAATCAGTACAGATTTTTACATCACTTCGTTTTCAATTCAAACGAAAAAACACGATTTTAAGCAACCTAACCACTCATAAGTACTTCAGTACTAAACGGATTTGCTTGAATTTTGTAATATGAGTAGTAATCATCATGACGCTGCGATAAGAATTATTACAGATTTTTACATTTTTTCGTTTTTACGACTAAACGCAATTTTTAAGCAACCTTAGTTGGGTTTTGCATTTGAGTCTGCAAGCGAGTTCGCAGGCGGCTCCGGAGAAGTGTCGATTCGGTAGTGACGTAGACAAAATTGCAAAAAAGTATGACCGAAACATGATACTGAGAGGAAGGCTACCATGATTTATCATTTTGTGTGTACATTTCCGTTGAAACTTAATTTGGAAGCTATTTATTGGTTACTGCCTTTTTGGCAGCTTGTCGGAATACCGGCGTGGAAATATCCGAGTCAGACCCGTACAGCGTATAAAGCAGGAGCCGATCAATGTTGCGTGACATAAAAGCCACAGCTCTCCGCTAACCGACACTGTCCACCATATCGCCTTCCAGCCTATGCATGGGCGTTACGGCTCTCAGCTTTTAGGCTAGGAGTTGGAAGCTCAAAACTTAGTTCAAAAAGTGACCTCTTGGCGTTGCTATACTTCGCAAGGGCGCAACAGTTCCTCTTTTTACGTTAGTATCATGACTCAATAGACAGATGGTGTCCGAGAGCCACGAGTGTGGGAGACTTGTGCCCGCCAGGATATTGAATTCAAAATGCACCTACTGACTTCCAAAACACACCTGGCTGGTGGTTACTCCGTTTGTCTGCCTGGGCTCTGAACAGGGCAGAAAAAAAACTACTTAACATATTTCAGGAAATATCTTGTCCCAGACTACACTAATGCATGCTCTTAACGATACTTGCACTTCTACTATGATATCAATGGCTCTGAAGACAACCGTATGGCTGGATACGCCGCTATGTGGGATGCCGAGGAGAGATCTCTGAAGCTTCATGCTACTCATCAATAAAACAGCCGAGCTCTGCATCCTTCTGTGCGCCCTCACCATTGCTGGAGAAAGCACAAACATGGAAGTATGCATATTAATACATACTAAGGTAATGCATATTTGAGAGAATTGGTCACCAGTGAGCATTTCTGAACGAATGGCAAGTGCATACGGCTGATACTGTGGTTGATTGCAGTGAATGAGGAGTACCCCATATCATTTACTGGTATGTGACTAGTATTTAGGTATACGAAAAATGAAACAATTTAAACGAACCAGTAGTTTCTTCATTGAATGAGCGAAACTACAGAATGTCTCCTGCAAAAGTAAAGGCCATCACAAGCAAGCTCTGTTGCACGAGTCTACGGACAAGACTTAACGTGCACAACAGAACACAACGCTGATCTCGTTATGAGTGCGTGGCCGTGAGGCATAAGTGACATTTATCCAACTCCATTCGCGTCAGGAAGAAATTAATTAGTACAATGACAACAGATATTAACGATAGGTTGTAAGAACGTAACAAGCAATGCCTTAGGAACCAAAAAAAAAAAAACAAATTTGCAGAAAAAAAAAAACACACTGAGCGTATGATGTCAAAGTGCCCCAATTTCCATCCCCATACAATTATTTAAATCAATCGTATCTCAACTACGGAAAGGTTTACTTGATTTAAAGCAAAAATATTGTTAAGCAGAAAAAAGGAAACGTATAAGGAGTCGTGATGAAGAAATGCTTGTGTTGAACAGCACGTACAATAAACAAGTTCAAAATAACTTAGTCCGCATAAAATTCTGATTCCACGAAAAGACTACACATGATCGCACAAGAACCTCAATAACATGATGCTCCATAAAGAATGGTCTAGACAGGAATATATAGGTACCAGAACTTGGCTTAGAGAATATTTCTCTATTACAGACGAGCCAACCGATGAAACGCTTGTCTGAGTAAATCCGGATACATCTTTCCTCGCGCATCTAGAGTTAAATTAGAGTTAACAAAGGTCTACTAAATTTCGAAATATAAAAATCATGAGTTCTGGAGAGCATACTCAAAGTGTAGTTAATTATTTAGATACTGTAGCTATGGAACTCATCAGTGAAAAATCACATGCACCCATCGCCCCTCGCAGCGCATCTAACTGTCCGCATTGCAACGCATCTTAAGATAGTAAAGGATTTTAACATAGATTGTAGAGGCAAACGACGCGAAACTAAATGCCTTAATAAAGAACTAAAGTATTGACGAACAGGTACGGGGTTGCTCAGAGCTGGCATAGCTCCCAGGATTACTTTTTGAAGCTCTTTAAAATTGGATAGATGTTTTCAAATGCCTCGTAGATCTGCTCTCTAACCTTCGCTCCTGAAAAACATGAACAATATGTTAATTATTTGAACATATAATTTCTTGGACAAAGCAAGTCTCAGATGAGGCAAGATATTATTGATACCAGAAGAATGAATAATTTTGACGTCAAGTAGCCTCACATAACTGGCTCACATACACCTCACTATAGATGTGATTTTTCTACGTTACAAGCGACATTTCTTTGTACCACAAGGTTAGATGTCTTTACCAAAGTTTGCACAAAAGCACATAGATGTCCCAAAAGCACAAATTCCATTTCTTCAAGTTGATTGTGAGGTAAAGCTGGGAAGTCACAAGGAATAGTTCTAAATGGGCAAATAAATACAATAATAGTTTCATATTTCTAACTCAATTACAAGCAAAACAGTTGATGATGGCAAGTGAAAGAGCGGTTTACACTCACCTGTCAGGACGACCTTGCCAGAGACAAATATCAGCAGCACAATGCGGGGTTTGACCATACGGTAAATGAGGCCAGGGAATAACTCGGGTTCATAACTGCAAATAAAAACAACTAAAATGAGAGAAAATTTTCATACAAGATAGAAATAAGGATCCAGAAAATTGTCCATCATGTGGTATCTCACTGAAAAATCTATAAGTAAAAATCTCTCTCTAAATGTTAGATCAAAAAATTAAAAATGATGTCTGGTTGTAGATGAAGAAATGTAAAATTTCAATTGCAATTAGGTGAATAAAATGAAAAAGGTTCAGTTTGCAATCGTTACTATCATTTATAAATGAAACCATGTATATAAATTATAGAGTAAAATTGTTAACACTCAGACTAGAAAGAGAAAGTAAAATTTCAAACCAGTTAATGAACTTCATCACAAGCGGGGGGGAGAAGCAGGTTTTGGTGTGTCTTATTGCTTGAAATTCAGCGATAAATTAACAAATCTTTATTGAAACACAGAGAGATATTGTACATCAAGCCGCTGATGAATAGGAACTTTGGTAAGAAGTGTTAATGACTACCAAGATAAAACTTCCTCCACATCACCACCTAATAAATTATTCACTCATCACACCACCACTTCATCACCCACTCATCACACTACCACTTCATCACCCCCTCATCACACCACCACTTCATCACCCACTCATCACACCACCACTTCATCACCCACTCATCACACCACCACTTCATCACCTACTCATCACACCACCACTTCATCACCCACTCATTCATCACCCACTCATCACACCACCACTTCATCACCCACTCATCACACCACCACATCATCACCTGCTGAACTGGTTGTGGGCAAGCACAAGTCCCTCCAGCCTGATGGGGAACTTGACGTCACAGCTACCGACCATATTCTGGATCTTAAACTCCATAAACTTGGCCTGTAATTAAATAATAACAAATTTGCTTACAGATAATACTAAAGGGATACATCAGCTTCAATCTAAACATATTAAATTTAACTAATAATTAGCAAGTTATTTTTTGATTAACTTTGAGAAAAAGTCATACTAGATGATAATGATGATAATAATAATAATAGAAAATATTAATATTTCTATATGAAGAACAGATCATAATTATTGAGAAAATATCTAATCACATGAGGATCAATAGAAAAATAAAGTATACTATTCCTCCAGAGTGCAGAGATACTCACTGGAAATCCCAACTTTTGAATAATCCTGGCATATTTACGAGCTGCCAGCCTGGAGTCTTCTTCGCTCTTAGCGCCTGTGCAGACCATCTTGCCAGAGGAGAATATGAGCGCAGTCGTCCTGGGCTCTCGGATCCTCATGATGACGGCAGCAAAACGCTTAGGATTGTACTCTGCATTACGGGCCTGGGTTGCAATCGTCTGGAGCTTCAGCTGGCAGCCCAGGGTGACTGTGGAGACTATATTCCTGCAATAATAGATAATATGTAAGAGGAGCTATAACAGCAGCAATAGATAACATGCAAGAGGCGCTATACCTGCAACAACAGATGACATGTATGAGGTGCCATACTTGCAACAATAGATGACATGTAAGAGGCACTATACCTACAACAATAGATGACATGTAAGACACATGGGCTCTTGAAACGCATAATAATGTGAATGCAAGAAATTATACATACCATAAGTATGGAAAAGACTGACATAGAAAAAAAAACACTTGACATGGGGGATTTGGTTCAAACAGACTCATTTGCTTTTCCGAAGATGTATGGAAATAAATGGTAGGAAACTAACTGGAGCTGAGGCAAGATGCCAGAGTCAGGAGTAAGAGGGGTGTTGGGCCCTGCCATGGGAGTGGAGGGAGCCATGTTGCTCATGAGGCCTCCACTGCTGTGCATCAGGGAGCCACTCATGGCAGGAGACAAGACACTGCCACCTCCCATGCCTCCACCCTGCAAATAACCACATGACACTAGTTATGCAAATTTTACATTAATAATCAAAGTCACCAAAAAGAAAATCTTCATTATAAACAAAATAAATGGTCGGTAAAGAGTCAAAATTGGATATATATATATACATTTACATTGAATGTAAAAAAAAAACAATTAAACACAAAATGGTCACTTGCTGTTGTTAAAAAATACCACCGTCCACTCACAGGAGTATGAGGCTGCATTAGACTGTGAGGAGTAAGCCCTGAGCTGAAATTGGAAAGGCTTGGCTGTTGTTGGAGGCTCAAGTGTTGTTGCTGAGCAGACAGCTGTTGTTGTTGGGCAGACAGCTGTTGTTGCTGCTGTTGTGCAGCAGGCAAGATCATTTCTTCCTCACCAGCATGAGCCATTGGTGTACCAATGCTGGGGATACTGAACCCAGGACTTGGCAACATTTCATCCATGATTGCAAATAAGTAGGCCAAAATACAGCAAATAAAAGTTGGTGGATTTGAAAACTGGCCTAAAACTTCAGAAATTGATAGCAAATGCAAAGAAAAATGAAAATTTGGCACAATATCTTTCTAATATTCTTTCAGGAACAAAGAATCTGCAAAAATCCATTCATGATGGGTATGTTAGGCACTGTAATGCATCTGAAGAGGACAGAATTGTTTGTGTTTAGGTGATTTGAAAAATGAACTCTTGACCTCTGAGCACATTTTGCTAAACAATGAATTTGCTAACAAAACCATTGACACCAAAATTTCAATTGATCAAGCACCTCATAGCCAACCAAACAATGAACCAACATCCAACAGAAACATCACAACTACTTATTAGGTATCAAAAATAGATTAACAACAGCTACGTATAAGACAGATTATCAAGTCCTAAATTCTATTGAACAAAATGATAAAAGCACAACAGCAACTGACCAAAGCTAACTTTTGACATAGTAGATACTGCAAAAAAAAAAATAGAAAGTCATGAATTCTCTCTTGAATAATAAACCTTACAAAAATAAAGACCACTACACGAGACAAATGTACTTTACAAATTTTCCTGCAATAAAGTAGGTACATTGTAGACTCCTACAGAATTTATATAAATTACATTGGTATAACTAGTGCAACCTTAGGCTGATGCCTAACATGCCACCTACAATCTGGGGTATTAAGAGCACAGAGATGGGACATTAACAGCATGCACCAGCACTGACATGCCATGCTCTAATGCTTGAAAACTGGCAACAGCAAAGGCTCTAATCATGAAGGAAATACAGTACCTTCAGTTATAAATTTGCAAGCCATTGAATTCGGCAGGATATTGAAATTTTTCCCTAAGGAATTTTTGGTTTTGATTTTTCGCAGTGTTCACAGTACCCTTTGTTTAAACACAAGCAATAAATGACTGGAGAATTCATTGATTTAGACTTTATTGGTCAAAAAATTCCTTGGAAGAGGTTGGTTGATTAAAGGCAAGTTTGAGAAAGTAGTTTGAAATTATAAATGATGTTTTAAATGCGACAAATTCATTCATTTTCAAGCTACAGGAAGCATTGAATAATGAAATTTTGTTTACAATAGCTACATAGTACTGTACATGTAAATAGGGATCAAAACCAAAAATTAGGAACCAGCAAATAACTCAAAGAATCCCAAAGTTCAGAAAATCAAATAGTTATGATATATATAGCTGGAGTCCAAGCCATAGAGATTTGGGCTTCAGCTATCATTGGTTGGTTGATGTCAGGGCATTGAATGATGGCAATGCTATTAGGTTCCTCCAGCACAGTGCAAGTGACAGTCTTGTTGCAAGCTTGTATCAGGTGGTTCACTTGCCCTAATGACTGAAGGTTGTTGAAGAGACAGTAGCTTGATGTCCTGGTTGTTAGTCCAATCTCTCCAATGTAGTCAAAATAAGTAAGAAGTCCACACCTTCTATTGCAAAATTTATAGACTACAGCAGCCACTTGGAGAACTACTTTTTGCAGGGGCCAATGCTGCAAATAGTTTGGGGTTTGACATTGTTGTCAAGGGTGTCACAAAAAGACTGTTAAAATCATTAAGGATCTTGAGATTAAATTGCTTGATTACAGGACTTTTGAGACCTAATTGTGTAGAAAGCTTGTCTCAGGTGGCAGGAGAAATGGTTGCTCCTATGCCTGGAAGGCGTTGTGTGCAAACCAGAGTTTTTTGGGATGTGCATCATGTGCCAGGAGTACCTATGTAACATTGATTTTTATGCCACACAGAGTGAGCTGAAAACCAAATGCACCACAGTTACAGTACAATACCATAGCAAGTCTCTTGGGTGCAGGTCAATGACCAATGAGGTCATTGACCACAAGCACCACATTGTAATGAGATCAAACACTGCTTTCCAGGTTTATACTGATTATGAAACAAAGTGGGCTAAGGTGCACATCTTAAACCACAGGAACCACATTTAAATTATATTGTACATAAACACTGCATTTCAAGTTCATGCTAGTTTATTCTAGTCTTGAATTTATTAGCAGCAGACCATAAGTTGGACCAGGATGTACATCAGGCCAGGCCAGCTGGTACATCAAGTTCCTAATTACTGTACCATCAAACAGGATAATAAGAGAAGGGCAGGGTATATTGAGACAGTCCTCTGACATTTTGTAGAACTGTAGTACGTAGCAACTAAACTAATTGAAATATTGCTAGAACTACGTAGTGGCATAAAGTTCAATATTTTTCCTATCTATGTACCATTAAGCCAGTTGAGAAATCATACATTTACTACCTCTAAAAAAATCCCTGAAAGAAAAAGTGCGTAAAGTGAATTTTAGATGAGTACTTCTGCTAAGGTCTGTAGTGAAAAAAATATTTGCAGCATTATGAAATTTTACTTTCATAAAAGTTGCACACAGGTGTTGGCTCACAAATGTGACTGACAGACTTTGTGTAGCTCATTCCTCCAAAATGGTGGCCATTTCCACAAGATGGGGTAATAAGGGACAACCCCTGGGGTAATAAGGGACACCCCTAAAAATGCATTTACAGTAGAACCTAGGTTAGCAAAGGCTCCAGTTAATGAAAGAATCAATTAACAACAAAGAATTTTGATTACATTTACCTTGCTCATAAAAAATTTTCACTTAACAAAAATTTAACGCATCATTGGTCATCATAAAATTGTGCTAAGAATGTCACAGATAGAGTGTGCCAATGGGCAACATAGAATGAAAAGTAACTAACTTAAACCAATATTTATTTATCCAAAAAATATTAAGAGTTGTCACTAAAATATTCTTCTGCCAGGTATGTTTTTTACAATCTTTTCTTTGTTATATTGAATTCACTTCACCAATTAAAATGGTGCAAAATTACAAGCCATCTTGTAAGCTTACAGATACAGAAGAAATTCTATATGGATGCTGATATGAAGCTTGCAGTGGACAAGGTCGTTGTCAATGCTCAATGGCATGTCCATGGATATAGTAATATCACATCAATAATACAGTAATGAATGCATACCTATGGTAATATCATATTAATAAAAAACAAGTAAAAATTGCAGAAAATGTCATCTATTCTACATTTGCATCATCTTCAAACTCTAAACTGTTTATGGAATGTTTCAAAGTAAGAAGTTACCCATCTGATGGTATACATAGCTTCATGTACGCTAGGCAGCCAGGGTGTGGGAACAGCACCATCCAGACTATGGGAAAAATGGCCTATTTTCACTGGCAATTTTCAAGAAGCACCCAAAAAATGATAATTTTGCTGTGATTTGAAAAAACTTTTGTCTGACATTCCAAATAGGCATCTAACCATTCTGGAAATTCATACAGTACAAACAGAAAACAGACTTACAGCATCAGCACTTGAGTCACTCAAGTCCCAACTTCTATAAAAAAATATTATACTAGTCACCAGTAGTCAGATGCAGAATTCACATATACATTCAAATTTGTCCTAATTAATAACTTTTAATGATTTCCACATACATGTTACACATACTATAGTAGGTAACTATGAAGTAGAGAGGTTTGGTTATTTTTATAATATATTGTTTTTACTGAAAACTGGCAATGACAGTCTGTGTGCCTATTTGCCTCGAGTAGCAGGCTTGCAGCTCTAGTGATAAATTGGTTCAAGTGGCAGTGAGTGACGTTGCAGTTAGATATACCGTATACCATCAAATGGGTGGGTAGTAAGGGATGGTTTTGAGTGTTTTTTGTTAATAACTTCTTACTATACTACTATGAAACATTTCATAAACAAGTTTGGGCTTATTTTAAAGGTATTTGCAAGGGCTATTGTATGGCATCTCCAAAAAAATTCCCTATGCTATTTGTAACTTGTAAGGTGCTAGACACAAAATAAAAGCATCCCAAACTGCCCCTGGGAACAGGCCAACAGGGTAATCCTTGACACTTGAAATAAAACTTAGTTTAAAAATGTTTGAAAAATGCAGAGTGTACTCATCCATTACTAATACTACTCCAAAGTCCTCATCTTCCTTTCAATCCTTTGCAGATGATGTAGATGTAGAATAAATGACATTTTCTGTGATTTTTACTTGTTTTTCAATTATTGATATGATATTACCATATCCATACATTATCCTATTATTGATGTGATATTACCATATTCAAGGACATGCATTTGAATATTTACATTACAATGACCTTGCCCACGCCCCACTGCAAGCTTCATATCAGCAGCCCTAGAGCATCCCAAGTGGAAAAAACACAACTTCGGATGGATTTGTACACCTGTTAATGAATTCTGCAGATGGCTTAGGCTGCAAAAAATTGGCACTAATTCCGCAGGATGCACAAAATTGACAATGAATTCAAGTCAAATTCTGCAGCACAATCAGCAAAGTGAAATCCACGCAAAGTACAAAGCCAGGAAAATACAGGAGCCAGACGCGCATCAAACAGAAGCTACTGGACCAGGAGCAACGTTCATGTTTGTCTACCCACTTGTCTGTTGTATTGCTTGAGAAGCAAATATGATGTGAACGCGTATGCGATCTGTGTGTGAATACTGCCCTTTGGCTCACTGACACCAAGTACAAGAGTAATGAGACAAATAAGCAAGTCAGCAACCTTACAGTTGACATCCTGATTTGCTAATGTGTGGGTGTGCAGTGTACTCTAATACTGTTGTGGGGTTGCCTTCCTGATATAACACAACTTTGAATAGTTCGAGCACCATAACCAATGGTGAGTTGAACTGGTTTTCATTCGTTTGCAACTAAATAATGTATGTTTGATCAGTTGTATTCTTCTACAGTAAATAGGAGCGGGAACTTGGGTGAAGCTCTCAACTCAAGTCAGACATGGAACATTACTCATTATTGCGCTGTCATGTTGGCTGTCGGTGTCTTCCAAAGTTCAATTCAATTTTAGAACTTTGCTTCATTGAAACCAAGGACTAATCCATCTTCATTATAAATTTCTTAGTTTTTTAATATTCTGTGCAGTGAAATATGTCTCAATTTTTTTGCATTAACCATGAGAAACTCAAATGTTTGCTTGTATAAAAAGGATCTCTTAAAATGTCGAATGAAATTTCCCAATCAATCTTCTACTGTCAATGCCACTAACTTTGTTGCCTACAGGCAACAACACATTTTGTCTCCGGCCTTCATAAGTAACTATTTTGTTACCAAAACTAAGCCAAA